CAAAATGATCTATTTTATCTTCTTCTAAATTTTATGCAGCTGTCTAGAAAGAGGATACTGAAGGACATGCGATGCAAATGCCAGTTGCATGCTGGCCCTTTCAAATGGCTAAAATACATTGGAAAATTATTTTAAAAAATAAATAAAAAGGAACGTGAAATCTATAGAAATGGTTAAATATGAATTCCAGCCAATACATGTTTTTACATAGTTACATTGGTCCAACTTGGACCAATGTAACGATGTATATATATCATAACTGGCTGATGCTGCTGAAAGCTGGAAATCCCTGAACAACTACTTCAGTGATCTCTACTTGCTTCTGGCTCCCATGCTGAGCAGCCAGCCTGATGCATTGTGAATACAGGAAGTCAGCCACTCGATAGAGGCGCCATTCAGAGAGTGCTATGCATTTGTTTTGATGAATGCAAAGCGTTCTCTGATTAGACCTCAATGAGAAATCATTGTGACATCTATGCCCCGCCTCTCCACCTTATCCAATCAGAAAAAGCTTTACATTCATTCAGATAATGCAAAGCATTCTCTAAGTGGCACCTAAACTGTACAGCAAGCTCCTGTGTTCAAAATGCATGAGACAAAAGTGGAGATCACTGGAGTAGCGATTCAGTGATTTCCAGCTTCCAGGGGCATTGACTTGGGCATTGGTTTAGTCATAGTTACATTGATCCATGTTGGGCGAGTGTAACTATGTAAATATATACCATGCCTGAAATTCTTTGACGGAGGGTGACGCAGGAGGTCCAGCGCTACTTGAAGCATGAAGAGGACCCAAACACAAGAGGAGTAAGTATGCAAAGAAGGTGTAAAGGGGTGGTATCAGGGTTACAGGGAGGGTTAGTTTGTGGCATTTAGAAAGGGTTAGGGTTCCACTTTTTCCTCATTATTTTTATTATAAAAACAAAGATATTGTAGAACATGGATCTTTCTGTTCTTGCCTGAGCAGAGATAGTAGTTGTTAATTGAAGCAAGAATGTCTAATGACTAGCATTTTATCTACTGATACTGATTCCAGCAACCTTATGCCCTGTACACACGATTAGAAAATTGGATGACAAAAATCACTTTCGGAGGGTTCGTATGATAATCTCATCGTTAGTACACAGCTTTCAACAGCCGATCATAACAGTTCATGCGACAATATCCAAACGAACAAGCATGAACATTTTTCTTGTGCAATAATGATTCATTTAAGCTCCAAGGAGCAGGGCCCTCCTATGTCTCTTGTATTGAACTGTATTGTTGCTGTATTGTGTCCTGTTATATTGTAAAGCGCTGAGCGAACTGTTGGCGCTATATAAATCCTGTACAATAATAATAATAATAATTGAATCAGTGCAGTATTCGTCCAGAAAACATCAAGAGATTAATACCACACATGCTTAGAAACAAAAGAATACTGTCACGATCAGGGGTCAGGCTCGAAGAACTGTTACTATAGCAGTGAAAATGCTCTCCAAAACCAGCAGGATAGTTAGAGAGGCAGGTCACCCTGGCGAAGGAGTGTGTTCACCTGAGGTGCGGAGTCTAAGTACTAACCGGTGTTCACCAGAGCTCCTGATGGTGGAGATGGATTTTGCTACATGTTAGCACCAGGTCACGGTCCTCAGGATCACCCCACCAGGAGGTGAGGAAGCGGAGGTTCAGTAACGTATTAAGCAGGTGAGGATCAAACAGAAGCATAGTCAGTAAACAATCCAAAGGTCGGTAATGAGCAGTCGCAGGTTGGGATCAGGCAGGAGCGTAGTCGAGGAACAAGCCAAGGGTCAATAATGAGCGGTAGCAAAATATCAATGACAGCAGAGACAAGGAGCGAGATACTGACTGGAGAGCACAATAATCTTTCAAACAGGAAGCGCAGAGACATGACTTATATCAGGACGTTCATGGGAGGAGCAAGGGGTTCAAGATTCATGACAAACAAGATCAAGGCAGGATCATTCAAATAATTGTCAAGGGAGTTGTCCAGCATTCCAAGTGGCTCAGCAAGAAGAAACATTGCCACTCACTGCAGAAGGCCTAGGTTTGGGCCCAGGCTCTGACATATACATTATAATACAATACATTACATTACTTCAGAAGTTGTATTCATTGTACGAGAATTTTCGTAACCTCTTAATTTTTTATATGAGACTAGCATGCAAGAAAAAAGGAATGACGCACAAAAAAGCTGATTCAGGTTTCACAGCTAATTGACACGGTAGTTTTTCAGTGATTCAGGTCAGGTTTACATGAGGATAGGATAGGATTAGGTCTGGATTTTATCATGTTCACATATATGCAGTCTAAAAAACAGTTCCTATAGAAGGATAACCTGTAATCTGCACCTGAACTGGACCACACTGCTCAGAAATTGTACAGGACTCTTTTTCAATCCGCACTGCCAGAGCACAGGACATGTGTGAACAGGCACCATAGGAAGCAATGTTATTTCACATGTCATGTAGATTAGATGCGTATCAAACCTAGGCATTATATTGTAGCAAGATTGCAATATTTGACTAAATTGTTGCTCTAGGTGTTTATTTCTGATTGAGTGCTAACAGTTACCCTTATAACTTTGACTATGAAAGTTATATATAGCTTATGACCAGGATACGCAGACGTCAGCAGTAGACAAAGTCAGAAAAGGATGAAAGGTTTCTTGGAGAGGCTAGGTTGATGCTAAGCACACTGGAAATGTGTATTCTTGCAATACAAGTACAGCACAAATACATGTACAATGAAAAGGGAAGAAAATTAGCTGATGATTTCAACCAACTTAGACACACGTTTTCCAAAGAAGACCTGTATATCAGTGTGTAGTGGTTTTAATACTCCAAACAGATATAAAAGACACAGATCATCACAGTTCTGTAATCATTAATACATCATTACATTTATCTTTGAAATGGAAGCAGTGTAAGTAACAGAAGTTAAAGTGCTACTAAACCCAGGACACTGCATTCACTATATCTGGTCTCCCACAGTACACAGAACATGGAAATGAAATTATTTTAGCAAATATAAACTGCTAAATACTTTTTCTCATCAGCAGTTAGAGCAGTCTTTTGATTTCTATCAGTGTCCAGCAGAGCACTGGTTAAAGCTTGTAAGAGAAGTTTTCTTTCTGCTCTAGGAGATATGAAACCTCTGACCCTCTGTCTGGACAGTGCTCATTGACCCTGTGCTGATCACACGCACCCTCCCAAGAAAAAAAAAACCTCTCTAGCAATACACAACAAACTGAGCATGTGCATGTAACCACTGGTTCAGTCTGTATCTGGTGGTCATTTTAACAAGAGGAGGGGCAGAGAAGAAAGGATCAAACAGCCTTTTTACACAATGCAGAGGATCAACCCCTTAGGTTCCACAGTGAGTATAACAAGCATGCTTTGCTGCATATACAGACTGATTTTACTGTTGTGGGTTTAGTAACACTGTCACGGACTGCCAGCGCCTCTCCCATCCCCCGCCATATCCCTTCACCCCTCCCTTCCCCCTTGCACATTCCGATGTCTGTGGAGCTTCCATGGACAGGGCTGGGCCGGCCATTGCAGAGGCAACCTAGCCGCGTCCCACATGGTTTTCAAAAGACCCGCACTGGAAGCAGCCCTCCTCTCTCTGTTTCTGTCCATGCTGCTGGAATCATCTTGCTCCCGGAAAGATGCTGGGAGGCTCGGGTGAGGGGGACCGAGCCTCCCCAGCCATCCCCCCTGTGTACTCTGCAGACCCCCAAAAGGTCAGGACTGTAGCCCTCTGCAATATCCCAGGGTTGGGAGTCTCCACAGCTCTGCATGATCCTTCCCCTCAAAGGTCAGACCCCACAGCTGAGACCCTGCCAGACCCTGCAAGTCTGTAAGCCTGTCTACTGCGCACCCTTGCACCCTGTCCGCTGCTGAGTGCCCTGGGAGCTGCTGCTGAGGGATCCTGCACACTGTCCGTGGCTGTGTGTCCCTGAAAGCTGTCTGCTGCTGAGTGCCCTGGAGGCTGCTGCTGAGGGACCCTGCACACTGTCCGTGGCTGCGTGTCCCTGGAAGCCGTCCGTTGTTGAGTGCCCGGGGAACTGCTGCTGTCTGCTGATTGCTGGTTGTCCTTTGAATGCTGACCGCTGGTCGTCCCTGTCTGGAGCCGCCTGCCGCTGAGGGTCTGCAAACTGCTTACCGTGAGTGTCCTGAACTGTCCCCGCTGTGTGCACCGACCACCCGTGTCCTGAACTGTCCCCGCTGTGTGCACCGACCACCCGTGTCCTGAACTGCCCCCGCTGTGTGCACCGACCACCCGTGTCCTGAACTGTCCCTGTTGTGTGCACTGACCACCTGTGTCCTGAACTGTCCCCGCTGTGTGCACCGACCACCCGTGTACTGAACTGTCCCTGTTGTGCGCACTGACCTCCTGTGTCCTGAACTGTGCCTGCTGTGTGCACCGACCACTCGTGTTCTGAACTGTCCCTGGTGTGTGCACCGACCACTCATGTCCTGAACTGTCCCCGCTGTTTGCACCGACTACCCGTGTTCTGAACTGTCCCGCTGTGTGCACCGACCACCCGTTTCCTGAACTGTCCCTGTTGTGCGCACTGACCACCTGTGTCCTGAACTGTGCCTGCTGTATGCACCGACCACTCGTGTTCTGAACTGTCCCCGGTGTGTGCACCGACCACTCGTGTCCTGAACTGTCCCCGCTGTGTGCACCGACCACCCATGTTCCGAACTGCCCCGCTGTGTGCACTGACCACCGGTGTCCTGAACTGTCCCTGTTGTGCACAAAGACCACCTGGGTTATGCACTGCCCTACTACACGCCTAGACTACCCTTACTTGAACCGCCCCATGGCGTGCCCGGAGTATAGCTACCTGCGGTGCCCCTGAGTGCTTGAGCCATCGCTACCCGTTGAGTCCCCGTGAACCCAATGTTCCTAGAAAGCTGGGTGGGAGCTGTGCTGAGGCCAGACTCCACAGCTAGAGTCCCGTTGAGTGTCCCCGAGACCCCTGCCCAGGGGTAGATTGCCACCTGTTGCCCGAGGCCCCTGCCCAGTGGTAGGTTGCCGTCTGTTGCTCGAGGTCCCTGCCCAGGGGTAGATTGCCGCCTGTTGCCCGAGGTCCCTGCCCAGTGGTAGGTTGCCATCTGTTGCTCGAGATCCCTGCCCAGGGGTAGATTTCCGCCTGTTGCCCGAGGTCCCTGCCCAGTGGTAGGTTGCAGCCTGTTGCCCGAGGCCCCTGCCCAGTGGTAGGTTGCCGCCTGTTGCTCGAGACCCCTGCCCAGGGGTAGATTGCAGCCTGTTGCCTGAGATCCCTGCCCAGTGGTAGGTTGCCACCTGTTGCCCGAGGTCCCTGCCCAGTGGTAGGTTGCCGCCTGTTGCCGGAGACCCCTGCCCAGGGGTAGATTGCCGCCTATTGCCCGAGGTCCCTGCCCAGGGGTAGATTGCCGCCTGTTGCCCGAGGTACCTGCCCAGTGGTAGGTTGCTACCTGTTGCCCGAGACCCCTGCCCAGGGGTAGATTGCTGCCTGTTGCCCGAGGTCCCTGCCCAGTGGTAGGTTGCCGCCTGTTGCTCGAGACCCCTGCCCAGGGGTAGATTTCTGCCTGCTGCCCGAGGCCCCTGCCCAGGGGTAGATTGCCTGCCTGTTGCCCGAGACCCCTGCTCAGGGGTAGGTTGCCCGCCTGTTGCCCGAGTCTCCAATCCGCTGTCCAGTCACGGAGGGAGCTCGGCTGAGGCCCCAAGCCTAGGGGGGAGATTGCCTGCTGGAATCGTCCCTGGTTTGCACACACATCACCCTCCCTGCCATTTCCCCATTGAGTGTCTGTCATTTTGTTGCTTCAATAAAGCTTTGTGTGTTCCCCATCTTCTCCGTGTGCTCTGTCCTGCCTACGCTTCCGTTACAAACACTTTAACTTTGTATCAGCCTCTTGCAATCCCCTACAACAGAGGTAGTCCTGGGAGAGGGAGAAGCAGCACTAGAAGCCAATTACTTGTGTTGCAGTGCTAATTTGATAATGAAAAGCATCTGATAGAAGGAGAAAGCAGGGTGATATAGGGATGAAATGTATATTATATAGGGCGCACTTGTTGGAGCCCAACCTCTGTAGCTGTAAGATAAAGGTGCCAGATGGATATCAGGGATGGATGGATGGGAGCAGTAACACTGAGGCAGCTCTTCTTAGAGTGGAAGCAAGGCTCTAATGCAGTAACAAGAAAAAGAGAGGAAGGCGCCTCTAAGTGCAGTATTGACAATTTATTCAGTAAACAATGGAGCCTATTGAGCATGCTCCAAAATGCATTACCGCCCCCTTCACCTGCTACATCAGACTCTGCTCTCCAAGCTTCATTTTTGATGCACAGGCACATCCTGGACTCTACTTCCTGATCCTATAGGCATAGTTTGCTGCAGGGACGGCTGGATGTCCCACCTGGATCAAATTACGACACGATGAGTCTTTTTAACCATTTATCTTGTAAGTGCAAATTTTCCATTGTTTACTGAATAAATTGTCAATACTGCACTTAGAGGCGCCTTCCTCTCTTTTTCTTGATATAGGGATGAACTTAACAGTCTGCTGCTTTTTTTCACTGTCCAGTCACAACTGGAGGAGGGACAAGACCTGCAAGTGGTACTTAATGGCAATAGCAAGACAAGGCTATACTGTGTGGCAGGGCTGTGTAAATCTCAGAACTGGATGTACAAGAATATGAATCCTTTGACAAGTGAAAAAGCTCTCATATATTTACAGTAAGTATATATTTTATTCTGTTTATTTAGCTCTTTGGCAGGAATACAACTTTAAAGATACCCTGTGGCCAAGTAATTTTTTTTTCAATGTGATATTTTATGCATGTTATATATACCTATAAAAGACTCACTTGTGTAGACATCCAAAAGGCTGCTTGGCTCTGTCTTGGATGTGATTTCTGCAGCCCCAACTGACTCAAAGCTATCACCCAAGTGACACTCTTTAGTATTCCTCTTTGCTCAACCCTCAGCCACTACATAGAAGGGAAAGAGTTGCTGGGCAAGCAAATACATTAATTAGACACTCCCAGAAGTAAATAGAGCAGTGACATGTCAGGGGAGAGGAACAACTGTGACTGTGGAATGGACTCTTCCTGGAGTGGTTAAATTCCCCAGCAGATTCAAAGGCAGATTGCAAGTAAATACAAAAAATTGCTGATGGAAAGGAAAAACTATGCAAGTAAGCATTTAAAATACTTTTTTGTTTTACCTGCAGTTGATGACAGGGTCCCTTTAAATTAAGTTTTATGCTGCCTCAGCTGAGAGGTTTAGTGTTAACATGTTTCCAGGGTCTTTCTTGATGGGTTTTCTTGGGTCCGACCCACTGGTCCTGTATGCTATTAAAAAGGGACAGGACTCCGACTCAGAGTCTCACACACAGCAAGTGAGTAGGTGTGTATCTTATCTTCCATGTCGCTGTCACCAGGTTCTGTCCACACAGCCGTCTGCCAATTCCAGAGCACCTATGGATCAAAGAACCTTTACAAAGCAAGGGTCAACTAAGAGCGACAAACCGCCCGAAGACACCTATGCTGGAATTCTGCCATGAATGGACTTTCATCCTGTGCAGGTATGCTGGGACAGCATCCCAAGCCTAGCTAGGGATTAGTTTAGCGGAAAGTTTGTTAGTTTTGTTCAACTGTCATGTTATTGACGCAAAGTTTTTGAAACTTTGTACTTTGCCTGGTCTGAAGTTACTAAAGGGGTGTAATGCAAGTATGTAGTAGTTTCAGACCTGGGCCAGTGGCGCATTGGGGTATGAAGACAGCTCCGTAAGAGTTAACACAGTGTGGAAAACAAGCAGGTGGTTACCAAGGGTAATGGAGGTTTAGCAAAAAGCCTGTTGTGAAGCATGTACATGTGGCAGGTGGAATAGCCTCTTGCAGGAGGAGTTGTCTGAACCATCTCTCTCCTGTCTCCCATAGTAATTGGAGAAGATCAGCACCACACAGGTCCTCAGCCTGTGCACAGGTATGGAAGAAGAAGAATTAAGTGAGTGCATGCAGGGGCGTCCCTAGGCAGGTGCGGGGGGTGTGCACCGCACTAGGTGACACCTTTTGCACGGGGTGACACCGGACCCGCTCCACCAGGGGTAGACTGACCAAGAGCCCGGGATCACTACAGGGCCCCATGAGAGGCTCAGTCCATCCCTGTATGTGCCACTGCTGAAATAAGCAAGCATTGAGGGGACAGACAGTGAGGCAGGCACTGCAGACACCTCTCCTCCTCGAGTTTCAGCAGAGGGTGGCTCCACATCCCTGCCATGGGTGCTGAAGTTGGAGAGCTGGAGGGGCGGGCAGAGTGTGCAGCAGGTCAGTGTGTAATCCCCGGACCCTGGTGTTAGCACTGCAGCTTCATGTAGTAGGTAGGGGGGAGAGAGAGGGGGGGAGAAAGAGGGCAGAGAGAGAGGAGGGGGAAGAAAGAGGGCAGAGAGAGAGGGGGAGAAAGAGGGCAGAGAGAGAGGGGGGAGAAAGAGGACAGAGAGTGAGAGGCAGGGGGGAAAAGAGGGCAGAGAAGGGAGGAGAAAGAGGGCAGAGAGAGGAGGGGGAAGAAAGAGGGCAGAGAGAGAGGGGGGGAAGAAAGAGGACAGAGAGAGGGGGGGGAGAAGAGACAGAGAGTGAGAGGCAGGGGGAGAAAGAGGGCAGAGAAGGGAGGAGAAAGAGGGCAGAGAGAGAGAGAGGGGGTGTCACCAAGTGTTCCGGCGCTGGGTGACACCAACCCTATGTATGCCCCTGAGTGCATGCATGGAGTCTGTGCTAGGTGCATGGCAAGGCTCCAATCCGTTACTAGGAGTGAGGTAGAGGAGATACCCTGTACAGGTGGAGAGGGTATTGGCTCTGCGCGTGCCTCCTAAATGCATCAGTGTCTGTGAAGGTGAATACTAGCATTAAGAGAGTCCGTTCAAGTAAAGGTACCCCATGTGTAAGACAGTGCCCCATCTCAGGTGCCTAGTGTAGCTCAGAAGAACCCACCCTAGAGTAGGCCTCCTATGTGACCCACACTTGGTGCTCACTGAGGAGGAGAACATCGGGAGGGGGTGTCACCTGTCTGCCCTTAATAGTGTATACTACTATAACTCTTTGTCCTACATTATATGGTGTCTAATGTTGATGACTTTTAAAGCTTTGAGAGTGCTGACTTGCTTCAATATTTACTGACTGTATCATGTATTTACCAGGGCTGAATGTAAATTAGCAGATTTGCTAATATACATTGATTAAGGCTGTACGAACGTGAGCATAAATAAGGCACCGCTGCTCATTTCTTATTAACAGGTCAATCCTATCAGGCGCTAACAATATTTATTGGCTTTGAATGGCAACTGGAAGTGAATGTACACTCCATAAATTTGCATTGCAAAAGAGATTTATTGCATATGTGATCACACTGAAGTAATGTGAAGTGATATTTATTACTACATAAGTATTTATTACACCTTCTGTTTTACTCAGCAAGCAGCTTTTTCCCCAAATCTAATTAAGATGTTTCCCATTCATGTTGCTGCTATCAATATCAATTTGTTTCATAACTTGGAATTTGTTTTATGCCTTTTGAACTATAGCGAGCGATGGTATGAAAGACAAATTCTGTAAGTTCTGACAGCATTATCTTTTAAATATCTGGAGGTTTAAGAGGAGAATAAATTCATGTACAGGTTTTACCTTTTGCAGCATCTGTTGCAAGGGGTTAAGTGCAATAATGTCATCTCACCTAATTTGTACAGCTGATGGTAGCTACCCTAATTACTTACCTAAATAATTATTTTATCTAAGAAAAGCATAACACTTCAGTGACTTCTAATGCAGCTTGCTTCAATGTACGATACAGGAAGTCACATGACAAATCAAATACATTAATTTCAATGGGTGCTGTTTGTTGCTGCAACTTGAGTCATAGCAAATAAAAAAAAAAAAATAGTTCCTGCTCTACTTTTTTGCGTCTTCCTTGCGAGTGCCATAGACTGCAATGTTAAAATCACAGAAGTCAAAAGGGAATTGCTTCTTTTTCTTATGTTTGCAACTTTGGCGGGAGCTTCAGAGGGTTTTGTAAGTTCAATGATATGTGCCACACTCAGCCAAAGCTACATGAAAATTGCAATGATGTTGCATTAAGTCGCAATGCAAAGTCGCAGTGGAAGTCACATGACTTTGAGGTTGGGGTAGTGTGAACAGGGTCTAAAGGTGGATTCATACAGTTGCATTGCAATAACACACGTTTTACCATAATGCATTCTGAATATACAACATGCAAATTGAACACGTGTGCTAATGTAATAAAGGTAATAATTTCACAGTTAAAGTTTAACAGACAAAACCATTTTTACATTTTGAACAGAAAATGAAAGAGGTAGATTTTCTTTAGGAGTTTAAAAGCTGTTCTTTGTACACATTAGGAAGATTTTCCTTCATGTGCCAACATCCAGGAAAGAAGTGAATAACATCTTTCCGAATCTAGGATAATAATGAACTTTTCTGAAGTAAATTTTGTAAAATAAATGAGAACCTCCTTTTTTTTTTTTTTCCTGTTTGCACCCCCAATGTAAAGATCTCCTCACTTCCTGTTTAGTCGTCAGGTCAGGAAGTTAGAAAAAAATCTCCCAACCCGGAATGCAGACAGCAATAAAAATCTAATTCACAATCCATTTTGCACTTACTCCTTTAACACTTTTGAGATTGCCAGGCCTCTGGTGATGCAGCAAAATCTAAAGTCATGATG